TATATATATATATATATATATATATATATATATATATATATATATATATATATATATATATATATTGTTGACTTTTAAATTGTCATTACATTTACTTAAAAAAAATCGTAATTAGCTGATTTTTATTTCAGGTATAGTTTTGGTCATGTTTAGTCATGATAATGTACTTTAAAAATCCAGATAGATTTTTTATTAGCTATGTATTTATCAGATGTGTTGTTACTTATTTTTTATCATACATTTGGTTTATTTTGTATGTGCAATTAATAGATATTATTACATTTAAACATGTTATTATTATTTTTATTAGCAGTAGTCGTAGTTAACATTTAGTTTAATACATGCAATTAATATCCATTATTAAATTTAAACATGTTATAATAATAATAATAATAATAATAATTATTATTATTATTATTATTATTATTATTATTATTATTATTATCATACATTTGGTTTATTTTGTATGTGCAGTTAATATGTTACGCAGCGAATGCCCTTCCAGCTGAAACCTATCACTGGGAAACATCCATACACACTATTAATATCTATTATTAAATTTAAGTATGTTATTATTATTATTATCATTATTATTATTATTATTATTATTATTATATTAGTAGTAATAGTAGTAGTGGTATTAAGTATTTAATTTATTTTGTGCAATTAATACCTATTATTAAATTTAAATATGTTATTATTATTATTATTATTATTATTATTATTATTATTATTATTATTATTATTATTATTATTATTATTATCATACATTTGGTTTATTTTGTATGTGCAGTTATTATGTTACGCAGTGAATGCCCTTCCAGCTGAAACCTCTCACTGGGAAACATCCATACACACTATTAATATCTATTATTAAATTTAAATATGTTATTATCATTATTAATTATTATTATTATTATTATTATTATTATTATTATTATTATTATTATTTGTATTATATTAGTAGTAATAGTAGTAGTGGTATTAAGCATTTAGTTTATTTTGTGCAATTAATATCTATTATAAAATTTAAATATGTTATTATTATTATTATTATTATTATTATTATTATACATTTGGTTTATTCTGTATATGAAATTACTATCTATAATTATATTCAAATATATAATTTATAATTTTTTTGTCGGCTTAGCCCCTTTATTAATCTGGGGTCGCCACAGTGGGATGAACCGCCAACTTATCCAGCATATGTTTTATGCAGCGGATGCCCTTCCAGCTGCAACCCATTACTGGGAAACACCCATACACAATCATTCTACACTACGGACAATTTAGCCTACCCAATTCACCTGGACTGCATGAACATGCAAACTCCACACAGAAACGCCAACTGATCCAGCTGAGGCTCAAAACAGCCACCTTCTTGCTTTGAGGCGACAGCACTACCTAGAGCTCATTGCGTCGCCTAATATTACATTTAAATATGTTAGTATTATTATTATATTAGTAGTAGTAGTAGTAATAGTAGTAGTAAGCAGTTAGTTTATTGTGTGCAATAAATAGCTATTATTAAATTTAAATATGTTATTATTATACATTTGGTTTATTCTGTATATAAAATTACTATCTACAGTTATATTTAACTATATATTATTTTACACTCCATTTTAATTTTAGTTATATTTTTACTATTTATATTTTTAAATATCATTAAATATTTTTTTACTATATAAATGCTATTCAAATAAGCATTTTTGTCTTTTTGTATATTGAATGCATGACTCAGCATTAACAAACAAGATTTCCACTGACAGATTTCTGTTTGATTCTGCAGCGATTCCCGATTTTCCGTCCAAAACCCGGATTTTGGGTAAATTTGAGAACAGCATCCCAGAGCCTGTGCTGACTGAATCTCCTCGACAGCATCTGCAACCCTTCGATTATGATGGAGAGGTTTACATCGGCGCTCCACAGGAAACACCAGTGTTTCCTGAGGAAGAAGAAGTGGAAGAGGAAGAGGAAGAGGACACAGAGAACCAGCTGGAGGATGAAGAGCTGACCAGCAGAGGAGACGTGTTTTGTGAGTGACTTCAAAAATACTCTTTACATTCATAAACAGCTGAAGTGAGATTTCCTATGTGCTGTTTAAGAGAGCAGGGATTACAGTAATTCCTATTATATTTTTCCCCTGAAGAAAGTCTTATTTCATTAAGTTTGGCTATTTTTTAATTATTTAAATATTAATTTAGTGGTTATCATTTGCCACCTTAAGATAAAATTATAATTCAAATATTTCCAACATTATGCTTCAGAGAGCAAGAAATCTTTCACAGTAATTCCTATAATATTTATTTCATCTGGAGAAAGTATTATGTTCTCAGTTTGTTTGTTTTTTTTTGTTTTTTTAATAATGTTGTGGTCAATATTTTTAGCCTCCTTTTTTTGTGAAATTTGTATTTTTTTTTAGGGAGTAGGAGTATTTTTACAGTAGGGACATTTTTACAGCAATTCCTATAATATTTTATCTAGGGAAAGTCTTATTTCTTCTAGACTGGCCTTTTTTGTATTTTTGTATGTCAATATTTTTAGCCCCCTTAAGATAAAGTTATTCACCCTTTTTCAAAACTTATTATTTCTCAAATATTTCTCAAATGATGTTTAACAGAGTAAGGAAATTTTCATAGTATTTCCTATAATATTTTTGTAATCTGAAAGAAGGATTATTTTTTTTTAGTTTGACTGGT